ATAGGGTTTAAGGGTTTACGGTTTAGGGTTTGTTTCCTTTTTCTTTTCCATTATCTCAATACACTCCTCCAACATACTATAGTAGTCTCACTTTTCTTCTCCATTATCCCAGTATAGCCTTATATTACCTTTTATTATCCCAATATTGACCCTAAACCCTGAAACCCTGAACCCTTACTAATGCTGAAGCGCCAAGGGCCAACAGTGGGCATCAGCTCGGGGCATGCTCTGGCAGCTTGTATACATCTGGAACCCCCTAAAGGATCTAAAAAATGGAACCCTCCCTAATAATCCCCTAGTTTCCCCAACGTAGTAGTGGGTTCCTAAGCCCTAATAATTCCTATATCAACCATATAGAACCCCTATACCTCCCCTTAAAGGGGGTTCATATTGGGCGTAAACCCTAAACCCCAATCTAGGAATGGGTTCATATTGGGGTCGGGCCCCACGTTGGACCCTCTAAGGGGGCCCGGGAGCAGGGCTTGCGTGGAGCCTGCAGACTGCTAGGGCGGGAGGCGTAGGGAGTATATAATAATTGGGTTATAGAGGGTTTAGGGTATTGGGTTTAGGGTTGAGGGCACTGGGATACTGGAAAAGAACATGGACACTACTGTAGTATACTGGGGATAATGAAAAAGATGGACATGACTATTTAGGGGTTCATGTTAGCAACGAAAGTTTTTGACTTCAACTTGTCGTTTTGTTCGTAGCCGTCACTGTCAGCATTTCATCAGCACAAGGCTTCTTGTAGACCTTGTGCATAACACATGTTGTGCATGACGCTTAAACTCGGTAAGCTTCTTCAAGAGCCCCCCATCTGCAATTTACAAGTTGTCAAATCCTCGACCGATGTCGAACGCAAGGGACAGTAAATAGTTCTTCCAAGGAAAATGTAAATAGTTCTGCCGCTCTCCAAAGGTTTAGGGTAGTTTCCATTTTCTTTTCCATTATCCCCATATAACCCTATATAACCCTATATACTATTATGTCTCCAAGGAAAATGTCACGCAGCGGTCCTGAGCCGGACGTTGTGGCCTTCGCGGCGGCAGCTGCTGCTTGCGGAGCAGGACATCAGTGGCAGGAAGCGACAGAGCCGGGAGCTGAGATCTGGAATGCAGATGTTGTGAGACATGATAATTCTCTAGGCTCCTAAACCCTATTATAATATAGCAGTTTCCATTTTCTTTTCCATTATCCCCATATAACCCTATATAACCCTATATACTATTATGTCGAGAATCTCATGCTAGACATCGGCATAACTTCCAAAGTCATTTCATCAAGAGCTATCGTGGCAAGTAGAGATACGTCCTTTTGGGTCGAGTTGGTCTTGTAGCACGCCGAGATGCGTAAAATTGTTGATAGCCAAGGATATCATCCAACATGGCAACGGTTTCGATTTCTGCGAACCGCATCCTGGTGCTGCCCGGATTGTCTTGTGTTGTAGCAGCAGGACATGGGCTGTCAGCATCCACCGTGATGAACGACAGTACCTGAATAGCAAGTGCATCAATAGACCGTAGATCAACGTAGATCGCCGGAGGTAACAGATCGAAACCGAAGCCGGCATGCAATTGAACGACTACAGATCCTTGAGCAGTGATTCATTCTTCTCACGTGGCAGGGCGAATTACGATTGTCAGTTTCTTCCTCCAGGTGAACTCCTTGCTTTCCGCCTGCGAGAAGCCGCTTCAGTGGCAACGAGCCCTGTCCCTTCTGGCAACCATGCGCCGGAGGGCAAAGACCCAACCCGACGTGGTGCCTGGCTGAGTATGGGCTGGCAGGGTTTGATCAGGAGTGCGGAGCCACAATAGCATCATATACTGTAGCCAGGAACAGTAGAGGTATATCTTCAAAGCAGATTCTACTGGTTGTGCCGTATTGGTGCCGACAGCAAGTTTTCAGGGCATTTCAAGGCTTGCGCCCTGGCGGCTTGTAAGATTCTTGTGGTATGCATGTAATTACTACAAGGTTCCTGAAAATA